TGACCAGTGTAGCTATTCTGCAGCCTCTAAGGCTGCCCTAACTCAACATATGAAAATTCACACGGAGGCACAAACTCTGCAACTGTGACCATCTCGTTGTGATATCAATGTTGATATCAATACAAACTCTACTTATGATATGCGTACACAATTAAGTTAAACTCTTGCCTAATATCAGCTCTTTAAACTTGGATTGTAGTGATTAGCAGAAGTGTAAAATGACCGATGTGCTTAAATAGTTTCCAACTGTAGAAAGTAATTTTACGCCAGTGAAAATGTAGACGAAAAAATCCTGTTTGTTTTGCATCTCTTATTGAGGATGTATCTATAGAAATTTTCGATTAAATCATTATGTACTTTGAGCATGGTGTATACGTTTTGTTGCTTTTTTTCCTCGGATGGAATGTTGTCAGAGGTGGTGAGTTGATCATTAAACACAGAAATCAAGATTCAGGTCAAACAGTTTGGCTTTACATTAATTTTTTTTTACGATTTTGTCTCTTTCCTTGTTTAGATGGTCTGTTCGAAGCTTAAAACGTTGACATTGTGAGGAAACTAAAACGTAACGTGCCACCTGACGTCAAATGTACTACGTAGGTAATCAGGTCCACAATTTCACCTTTGACCCACACAGAGTTCACCTCTGACCTCTCGACAAGAAGGGAAAACAAAGCTGCCCGAGTTCCGGTTTACGTGACGAAAAAAACCGTCATAGGAAGCAGGTAAGACTTAAAAACGGGCAGAAAAGTATTCTAATGCTGGGGGATTAGTTTAAGACCATTTCTGTGGAAGAAGAACCGAAGTAGGACGATAATTTGTAGGCATTTTCAGGATGTGAATATCGTGGAATTGAAGGGGGACGGGGCCGGGCCTGTCACTGAATACCATCCAGTAGCTTTGTAGCGGCGACCGATTTATGAATAATTTATCAAGGCCTACGCACCCGGTTCTTTCATTTGCAGAAGGCGTCATCCATGGTGGCACGCAATGGGCGAAACACGTACTGTAATTTACTTTATGTTCACATTAGCAAAATTTCACGGTCTGAGAAAAGTGGACATGTTCACGTATGGAACTATACATTCACGGTGGTGCAGGAAAGAGAAAGTCCAGGAAATATTTGTTAACTGTAATGATAACTTCACTGTACGCAAGTGACAGTGAAAACAGTGAACATAATAGTGAAAAAGTCAGGAATTACAGTAGCCAATTACCACTGAATGGCTGATCCTTGTTGGCACGCAACGGGCGAAAATACGTATATTACATCCATTGTTCGCGGCGAAACCTAACTGCTACATGTACCAGGGCGTACTCTCCAAGCAGAGGTTGTGGCTGAATGATCGTTGCCTTTTTATATATGGCTTTTTTTGTTGTTGCTAATCCCGTCGGTGGCTGCCGACCTTCTCTGGATAATGGATACTGCCTGGCCAATTTGATACTGTCTTTTTGCCACCGAAAGGGATCTGCTTGGAGATTACCAGGGCTCGAAACTAACGGTGTTCCGATGGCCAGTGACAACTGAAATTTAAGCTGGGTGCAACTAATTATATAAAGACAATTTGGGACATTTTTGGGACAATAGAATAATAGTCAACATCAGAATGTCAGCCCTTCTTTTGTTTGGCTTCACTACCCAAAATTTCCCGTTTACTTTCCAATAAGCGCGCCTATTGCCTGGAAGTCAGAATGTAAGTAAAATAAAGCTGACTTCAAATTCACTTCCTGTAAACAGGTTAGAACAGTTCATTCCTCACTTCGGGACATTTGAAATTTATTTTCGGGACAGTGCTGGGACAATAGGGAAAAAGTTAATTTCGAGGCCTGATGCATTAAGCAAAGTAGCCTTTGTTGAGGGTATTCAATAACATAATAAAATATTAATGTTAAAGAAACGCAAAAGGCGTAAATTATAAATTTGTAAACACTTGAATTGATCTGTGAAAACAGCGAATGAAGTCAGGGGAAGCTGTTTGTGTGTGTGTGTTGGTAGCCTGGTATCCAGTCTGATCGTGGTCGGGGCTGAAAGATCTCTGTCCCGCCCGCCTCACATAGGTTTCCCGGGGTGTATTTCACGAGAGATTGATTAGCCCTAGCCTGGATGCCAGACCCAAAGCACACTGGACACAAAATATCTCAGTGTGCAAGGCTCACTGAGATATTTGTGTCCAGTGTGCTATGGGTCTGGAACCCAGGCTAGATTAGCCCTTCCCCAAGCATACTGTCTCTTATTAGCGTAACACTCCTACCGGGACGGCCTGTTGCACTGGGCGGGGGAAGCTATTAGAGCCCCCGAAGACACAGCCTGCCCGAACACCCCAATACCCCCAAGTTTGAACCACTGAACTTTAAACCTTTTTTTTTTACTCTTCAGACCAGACATGGCAACGTCAGGGCACGGGTCTCCTACTGGAGTTGGTCAGAACTGCTGTTATGGGTCTCCC